CATGATTCTGGAGTCCCAGGATCGAGTCCCACATCGGGCTCCCTGCTCAGCAGGGAGTCTGCTTCTCCCTCTGACCCACCCCCCTCTCATGCTCTCTCTCTCTCATTCTCTCTGTCTCAAATAAATAAATAAAATATTTAAAAAATAAATAAATAAATAAAAATAAACAGCCTGACTCATGTTTCAACCTCTACATCATATTGAGAAATTCACAGAGCGCCAGTGTTCACCACCTCATCTACTGAGAATAAGTCATGGTGATATGTGTATTTATATTTGTGCAGTGCGTGTGTTGTGTGCATGCATGCATATGTACATACACAGTTGTGTACTTATGTTGGGTATACGTATAATGAAAATGAATGAAATCTATTTTTTAACACCATTCTTCATGTTTCAACTCCCTTTTGCTTGTTTGCTTCTAGCGTAGGCGATTTCACTGGGACCTTTTTGGTCTCTCCAGACCTTCCATATAAAGATAAAATGCTTTATCTTCTTTTTTCTTAGCTATTTCTCATATATTAGCTTTAAACATCCCTAACCTAGCCTGTGTCTGAATGGGTCGACCGTGTGAGCTGTAGATCACAGATAAATGTTTGCAGCCCTATCGCTCACCCAGGTTAGTGCTACGTTTTACCTTTGTACCTCTGCATGGGGATGTTTCCTTCTTCTAGTAGTGGAAACAAGTAGGAGCAGTGTGTGCTAAGACGTTTGGTCTAAACATACAACTATGGAGCAGAACTCACTCATTTATGCAGATGCTGAACTAATAATGAGGCATATTCCCTGAGTCCTTTGCTGTCAACAACTAAATACCACCTTTCAAAGTTGGAGGGAAAATCTTTAATTGTTAGTGAAATTGTAAAGAGACACAGCACACAAATGAAACAATGCTGAAATCTGCTGTTATAATAGTGCTTTCCATTTAATTTTCAAGGACGTAAATTCTCTTCTTAAAAAAGAGCTTAAAATCCTATTTAGAGATCATTCATGACCTTTATTATGATATCATTATAGAAATGATAAGATTGATTCTTTTTCCACAGTGAGGCAATTGTTTCTCCTTTATTTTCCATTCAAAGATATAAACTAATAGAATTGACTGCAGAATCATATTTCTACTTATAATTTTAAGGAATAATAAAAATGCATATGGGCACATATATTCTATTGGGGACAATTATGTGTGGCACCCAAAAAATAAGGTTAAATCCTAAAATAAGAGTGACTGAAATTGAAATATTTTTTGGATTAACCTCAAATTGCAACCATGAACAAATGCATAATAAGTCCTTTTATGTGTAATCCAACAACAGTCTTTGTTGGACTTTGTCACTAAGTGAATTTTTATAAGGGCAACCAAAAATATACTGTAGGGTTTGTTTTAAATGACCAGATATTAAAAATTATGTCTTTATAAATATGATTTTTAAATATAAAAGAAAGATGTCAGTGGTGAAGAGAAAAAATATTAATTGGTGATAATATATTAAGATACCATAGCACTTTTAGGTTGCCTTTTATGAATTTCAAAAACATTTGGAAGGCTGGAGAAAAACAGAGCTTTTTCTTGGTTAGGGTCTTTGAATTTGCAAATATGTCTTTGGATTTGCAAATGTCACGTAGGGAGAAGTAAAATCCTTCAAATCATCTATTCCAAACAAATACTGTCATATAATATTTATTTTTTAGAAACTTAATCTTGAATAAGACTGGGAAACATGGAAAATTGTGAGACTTAGAGAATATTATGCTTTATTTTCACCTTGACTAAAAATAGTTCTTTTCTGATAACAACTGCCATTTTATTACTTACCCAAATCATCAGGGAGGTTTCATTTGCATCTTGGATTTTAAGACTCAAAGACGAGATTAGTCTTTTTTTTCTCTCTACATACATAAATAATACTTCAAACTTTACATCTAGTCAAATTGAATTTATATTATTAAAGCAGCATGCAGAAAATTGACAACCTGTCTATATAATTTAAAATTTCCAACAGAAGATAATGTCACTGGATAGTAATACCGCAGTTGAATGTTACACAGATGATTACATGATCAAGTGAGAGACTCATAAGGTTTTCTTTTGTTTGTTTTACTTCTAAATTACGTAAGCCCCAATGTTTCATAATGTACAGGTGATGTACTACAGCTTGTGCTGAAACTTTGCCTTCCTTCAATTAAAAAAGCAAAACAAAACAAAAAACTTATTAAGAAAGAAAAAAATTGGTTTTAGTAATAGTGAGTTGATATTAAAAAAATCTTTGTTATAGCATCTTGTCCTTTTAGGTGCACATTAAAGGGGCTGGCACAACTGATTACATAGGGAATGTTGTGATTCTTTTCAGCACACTTTCTGCTCTTCACTTGCTCCCGGGCATCCAGCCCACTCATTGTCTGAGCGTCTCCAGACACCAGCATGTGCTCCCAGCTCTTCCGACCTCCTCTTCCTTCCCCTTAATACCCGTGTTGTGCCCTTGGCTTTGGGACTTCAGGATCCCTCCCCACAATGCGTCTAGTCCAGTAAGATATGCTGCCCCCGTGAGTAGATGGAGAGACATGGACACACTGTTTTCAAAATCTGCCCACACCTACTGTTTACCTTTTTCTGTTTCATTTTGTCTTTGTTTGATTCTTTTTGACTTTTTAAATCAATCCTGCAGCCCAGTTGTTGTTGTTGTTATTATTATTATTATTATTATTATTATTATTTTGGTAACAAAGATCTTTAAAAAATACTTCCAGGGAGGGGGGCAGCCGGGGGGCTCAGTCTGTTAAGCGTCGGACTCTGGTCTCAGCTCAGGTCTTGATCTGAGGGTTGTGAGTTCAAGGTCTGCACTGGGCTCCATGCTGGGTGTGGAGCCTACTTGAAAAAAAAAATACTTTGTGGGTTTCTTGTTTTGTTTTGTTTTGTCTTAAGGTTATCAACAATTTTATTTTCACACAGGAGACAGAGGATACTTTGAAATCATATGTTAGGTGATGGATAGGTGATAATCATGTGCTTAGGAAATCCAATGTATATATTTTGAAGCAGTTCCTTTGTTTCCATTGCTACTTCCTTTTTAAACAGTGTTTCCTGATTTTTAAATAAGCTTAGAGTTTGATTTCAATATGATAACCCCTGTTTCCAAGAGCTTGATGAAAGGAGATCAGAATAAAAGGGGATCTAGCTTTGGCATTCTTACCACAAAAAATACTTTGTTTTATTAGTTATCTGGAAATAAATCATCATTGAATTTTAAAATGTCATAATTTAAAAATCAAAGCAAGCTACATAAGAATAGATGATTTTTTTTTTTTTTTTTTTTTTGTAAGAAAGCACAATATCTTTGGGGACTGGGATTACATTTTAAAAAAATAGAAAATTGTCAACATAGAAGTGTTAGCAGTCTTTCATGTTCTCACCCAGGGTCCCTGTCCATGGTGTCCTGGTGTTCTCATATGTGCTGTTGAGACCATCTCCTCTCTCTTGTTTGTGTTCTTTTTGACCTGCTGCAAGTCAAAGTTTGCCCTTTAGACCTTCCCACCAGGAAGGCTGACTTTGTAAATAAGCGCTACTTTGTATTGATGGCTTGTTTCTTTCATCATAATTGTATTTTTTTTTTTCTAGATCAGAAGTTGCAAAGTACTGTGGTTGCTATGCCTCATGCATATATTTTGTCTGGCCCATTTAACTCATAGTTTAATTCTTTAAAATCTATGGCCATCCTTAGAACCAAGATGTTTCTTGTAAAATTAGAATATTAGAAGACTACAGTCCATGATGACAAGAATTGGCTTCATAGAATATATGTGCTTCTCAGTTTGCCCCCAAGCACATCAGGCTTGCTTCACTCATTTACTCATTATGTGGTGGATCCCTGTAGAGATTTGGATTTATACCCACTAAAAACAGGAATAAATGAGACAACCCCTTTTCTTTTTCAATCTCTGAAACTATTTCTCCATGAAAGAATCCCATTTAAAAACTAACAAAACATATCTCTGAAAATTAAAAAAAAAAAAAAATGAAAAGCCTCCGCTCTATAGAAGGCAGAGAGGTTGTGTTTATTGACACAATTTATTTATTCATGATTTCAGTGCAGTGATTAAGGAAGAAAGGTATAAAATGCAAGCACAACAAAAAGGGCACCTTATTCTATTGTGGGGTAGAGAATGCTTTGTCCGGGATGCTTTAGGAGAAGGTGATACTAATTAAGTGGAGGTATAACTAATGAAGAGGATTCCAACTACAGCTTGAGGACCGGAGGCTCTGGATGTAGGAAGACACTGTGCAGAGAATGACCTACAGGTCAGAGAAAATAACAGTGATTCTCTGGTGGAGAGCAACAATGAATAAAGCTAGATGTGCAGGCCAAATGCCAAATCATGGTCTCGTATGCCTTGTTAAGTTTTGTTGTCTGAATCCCAAAGGGAAAGATCTGGCCAGCTTGCCAACACCCACCACTCAATAGCCTTCTGCAAGTGCGGAAACTCCCAGCTCTCTCCGTCCTCTGATACACAGGGCACCGCTGTCTCCGTCTCTTCCTCAGACTTCCACTGGCACATCATGTCATTGATCTCTCCGAAATGGTGTTTGATTTTAAAATAAAGATGCTAACTTCCTCATACAGTTTAAATTCTAGCTTGTCGATAACTTAATGCATCAAGGTTTTTGGTTTTATTTATTTATTTATTTAAGGAAGAACAACAGATGCATTCTCTCCACAGGGGCTAAGATGCTAATGGTCATGAATTGGTCCAAATGTGCTTCACACTGAATTAAGGCCTTCTGTTTTTTACCCAAAGCAAGGGCCGTGATGTTGGAAATTTCAGCCTTTACAAAAACTCCTACGGAAGGTTTGCAAGTGTTCTTTAGAAACGCGTCAGATCTGTGGCCCTGGGCAGCCGCCCGCTCTCTTTTGTGTAACAAAAGCCTGGGCTTGTGCTAGAACACTTCTGGTGTGCTGTTGATGGAATGAGGATTGACAGTTTTTATTTTATTTTATTTTCAGCTCACTCCAGTTGGCACCACGATATTTACAGGATTTTCAGGAGACAATGGAGCTACAGACATAGATGATGGACCAAATGGACAGATAGAATACGTTATCCAATATAATCCTAATGATCCGGTATGTCAGTACCTACGTGGAATGTGACATCACTATGAGGAATAAAAACAGTGCTTCCTCCAGCTGATCCTTACTATATTATTCTATTATTTAGCTCCTTGAACTACGTTAGTAGTCATTCTGCTGTTAAAAATTATCTCAAAATTACTGTCTCTTTTCTAGTCGTGTTATACTTTTAAAAACCACTTTTAAAAACTTTTTGGTGGGTTTTGTAGGTACAAATTTAAAATTATTTATAGGAACAATACGCCATTTTCACTACATTTCCATTGTGCTTGTGGACTCTTAAGCATTCTAAATAAATCATCGGAGATGGTGTAACCAGTATGATGCATATGCGTTATGCATCTTGCCAAGTAATAGCACACTGCCGATGTCCACCAGTGAAGCCTAAGATAGAGAAGAGAACAAAACCTTTAGCTGTAGCCTTCCTTTTTTTAAGATTTTGTTTTTTATTTGAGAGAGAGAGGAGCATGAGTAGGGGGGAGGCTCATAGACAGAGGAGAAACAAGCTCCCCGCTGAGCAGGGAGCCTGATGTGGGATTCGATTCCAGGACCCTGGGATCATGACCTGAGCTAAAGGATGATGCTTAACCAGCTGAGCTATCCAGGTGCCTGCTTTTTTTTTTTTTTTTTTTTTTTTTTAGATTATTTATTTCTAATTAGACCATTGAATTTCTACACTGTTTTTAGGCTGTGAAATTATTTCCTCTAGTTTGTTATATTATCTATCACATTGATAAGATCAGAATGGTTTTGTTGCAGCCCAAGCGAGAAGCCCTACCTGCCAACTTTCCCTTCCTCTTTCCCCCAGAAAACTTCTCAGGGTGCCATGGGTTCCCCAAAGCATCATTTTAAAATCACTTCTTAAGTGAATTTTCTAAATGAATGCTTCTTCTTTATGTTTAATATTAAGAAAATAGGAAGTGGTGAAGTTAATATTATGTTTTTATTTTTAATTTATGTATTTGTTATATAAGCTTTAAACAAAGAAACAAAAACACTGAGCTCGCAGAGACTGAGAATGGCCGATAGGACTTACTTCACACATATAGTGTGAGAACTAAGTGAATTGTGAACGTTCTCATCTTCTGGCGTGTCGGTTCGTGGGTGGGAGAGAAACGGGCTCACGGCCGTGGCTGGCTAGTGTGCACGGGGCTTCTGAGCCGCAGACTCAGGACTCTTTCTAGAGCACATGGACTCCACTTTTTCTCCGCTGTGTTCTAATAAAACAGTTCAGTACTTATGGTAAAAGTTTCAAAACAATCGGGGAAAAAAAAATGAAAAGAAAAAAAGCCCCTAGGTGTAGCACAGCCTAAGGAAGATTTGGAGGTGTTTTTGTTTGTTTTATGTGTCTTCTCCCCTAAGACATGTGCCTCCAGAGCTTTAGGCAGAGGCAGTGAAAAAAAAAGGGGGGGGAAGTAAGAGGATGTGACAGAGAAGGACCATAAATAGGAAGGGTTGCACAAGAAATTGAGCAGAAAAGATCAAGAAGGAGCAGAAGACAAAAGACAAGAGAAACACTTTTCCTTAAAAACAGAAACAGACAGCTGACCACACATTTCATTTCTAGACAATTTGTCTTCCTTACTACTTAAGTTTTTAGAAGAATTAATTGTACGTGCGTGCCATGTTTCTAGCTTACATTTTATGAAGTCGTTTCTTAATCTTTACTCTTCAAGCTGTAAAAATGAAACTCCCAGCAAGCATAGAACAGCCAGGCCATGTATTTTAGGGAAATATTTATTGCATTGCACTAAAAACCAACCTATCCAAGGTTTAGATGTAGTGTGAGACAAAAATGCATTACTTAGGCATGATCTTTCAGATGTTTGGGGGGCTGGAAATCCTTGTCACCTGTGCAGTAATTCCTTCTGAAGGCTTCCCCCTTTCAGGGACTTGTGGACTTGGCACGAAACACAATATGTACCTTTACTGCCTATAGATTGGATAAGCCAATTGGCCACATGCAGTGTCCAAATTACAGAAAAAGAAAAATGTACTCTAGCAAGCTAGCACTGCTGTGGAATAAATAAAGACATTCTCTGGGCACGGACCTAATTCAATGAGGCAAAAGAATAAGACACCATGAGAGCACTTAACTTGGAGCTTATGGGGGTGCAGGGAGAAAGCATGAACCCAGCCACATCCTTACAGAGCGAACCCATCTTTAGCCATCATGGAAATTTAATGTAAACCTCAGTTACCTACTGATGTTTGTATCTGTCACCATTCAATTGCTAGTAACCCTGCTTCTATTAATAGAAGTCCCACAATGAGTCCCACAGTGTATGGAATGGTAAAGGTGTAGATTGGTCTGTTCTACTTAAAAATCTCAGGATTTGTTTGTTTGTTTTTGTTTGTTTGTTTTCCAACTGATGCTGCATTATTCATTAGCAGGAATCACAAATTAATGACCTCGAGTTTCATTCCACTCACAGACATTTTGTTTGGCCACAAATTAATTTAAAGAATTTATTTTTATGTATTTAGTTGAGAGAGAGAGACAGAGAGAGTGAGCAGGAGAGGCAGAGGTAGAGGGAAAGGGAGACTCTCAAGAAGACTCCCCACTGAGCACAGAGCCTTATTGGGGTGCAATCCCAGGACCCTGAGATCATAACCTGAGCTGAAATCAAGAGTCAGATACTGAACCAACTGAGCCACCCAGGCACCTTTGGCCACAAATTAATTTAAATCATTTTTGAGCCAATATCTAAAAATCATGAAATTTCACACTCACATCTAGATTTCCCTTCTAAAGAAATAGAAATATGACAACTCGGGCCCTGACTTCCAAATAAACCTGTCTAGTGTATCCAGGGATCTCCCCCCCCAGCTAGTATAATCCTCAGGTTGGAATGTTCCACATTTTTAGAGTTTGCCTGTCTTTGCTGAGTTTTCCTGTGGTCTCACCTGCACTGAGCATATTATTTACATCTCTGAGGACAGAGTTCAAACAGCTGCTTTAAAATCCTCCTCTGCTTGTCCTAACATTGGTCTTCCCTGATTTCTTCTCCTTCTGAGAAGGGATCCCATTCCCTGGTTCATCATGGGTCCAGTTGTTCTGAACTCCCTCCTGGACCTTGTGAAGGTTATGTTGTGGAGAGACTCTTCTATTATATTCATCTGAGAAGATTTGTCCATGTGTTTGTTTTTAATGTACCAGACAACATCATTGGGCTTGCATTAAAAACCCTCGGGTGCAGCTCGGAGCTCAGTTCTATATGCTTTCTTAGTGCACCTCTTTGAGTCGGCCTCTGCTCTAGAGGTCACCCAAAGACTCCAACACAGCTTACATGTGACATTTGTTCTCTCCCTTCCTGGCTTTCTCCCTCTAAGGCCCCCTCTCACCTTCCATCAGCATTGGTGGTCCCAAAAATCTCTCCCCTGATGCTTCAGGCCAGATGGACTTTCTATCAGAATTTTGACTGCCCCTCGAGGCACTAGCTACTGTAAAACAGCAAGCTCACCCACGTTGTCTCTTCTTTCAAGTGTGTGAGATCTCCCAGAGTATGTCTGCTTTGGTTATCTCTCTAGGGGTGTCTGGTATTCTTTGTTTCTTTGCACTTAGTCCAGAGTTCATAGGTGTTGTTTGTGGAAAGACTAAGCCAAGGAGGAGATCATCAACCATATAGAAGCAGAACAATCAATTCCCAATCAGTTCATTTCTTCAGTATATCTTTAGAAGACTAGTAGGCATAGTCCTTTTTCTTGCTGAACCATTCTGGTTTTCCTGTCTTAGGCAGCAGCAATGATACAATCATTTCAAAGTTCTAATGACAACAGGAGAACATCCTTCATTTCGTCGACTGCTGTGGATCTGCAGTGATGAGCTATCAGCTCGTTAACCACTGGTACTAGTTTATAACCAGAAACACTGACATTTCAAGTCTGTGTCAGGCTGATTGCTCTTTAAGGGAAAGAGAACTGGAGAAACTATTTAGAAGTGGTTTATTTATCTCTGTATTTTTAAAAAGAGGATAACTTTCTAATAAGAACATATATGAGTATATCCTCATGTCTGTGTGTTCCCAAATATCAGAGAAACAAAAATATAATATCACTTGAAAATATTATGTTGAAGACTCAGCAAATGTAGCAGATATCAATTACTGTTACTATAAACCACCACTGATCTTTGAGATAAGTTTCAGGGGTTAACATGGTGTGTTAGTTATCTATTATTGTGTGACAAACCATCACAAATTTAGTGTCTTAAAACAACACATACTCATTTTTGTAGTTTCTGTGACTTAAGAGTCTAGACTCAGCTTGGCTCTCACAAGGTTGCAGTCTGGGTGTTGACCAGATTAGTTCTCCTATGGAGTCTCAACTAAGGAAGAATTTCCTTCCAGAGAAACTCAGACTCCTGTCAGAATTCATTTCTTTATGATTTTAAGACGGAAGGCATTGGCTTCTTGCTGACTTTGGCTAGAAACTGCTCCCACCTCTGAGAGACCACACTGAGTTCCTCGGCTGTATACCCTCTGAGTTCTGCAAGGAGAGTGTCTAGACCCAGGCTGTTTGCAAGATGGAGTCATCCATGACACAGTGTAGCCACAAAAGTGACAGTTTATCGCCTATGCTGTATCCTTGGTTAGAAGCAGGTCACACTCAAGGGAAGGTTTTACACAAAGGCATGAGATGCCTTTCAGGAAGTGGGGATAGACAGGGCTCCCTCAGGAATCTGTCACAGCTACTATTATGTTCAGCATTATTGTCATCATTTTTGAATGTTGTATAAACAGATCTACTTCAAAAGGTATTTTTTTAATGAACTTACACAAAATAGAGGGCATGAAGTTTCTATTCCAGTCTTAATACAGGCCAAATTGAAGATGGTCACTTGTATTATTAGTATCTTTGTACCCTACCTGTATTTTCTTATGATGTGCATGAACATTTATACTAGATGTGGAATAGAGAAGAATCAGGCATTTGTACTATCCAAAATCATAGAAGTTTAATTACCAATGTTGCAAACTCATCACTAAAACAAAGCACACTTTTATTTAACCCATGAGCAAAATCAGAATAGTTAAAATTGAGCTTTCTTTTCTTTCTTTTCTTCTTTTTTTTTCTTCTCTTTTCTTTTGCCATCATTTTCATTGAATTTTATCTAAAATAAATAAGGAATGAGTTTAGGGATGAATAGCTGCTAAACTGATTGCATTTTTTTTTTTTTAGAATTTATTTATTTGACAGAGGGAGACACAGCGAGAGAGGGAACACAAGCAGGGGGAGTGGGAGAGGGAGAAGCAGGCTTCCCGCAAAGCAGGGAGCCCAACGCAGGGCTCGATCCCAGGACCCCGGGATCAGGACCTGAGCTGAAAGCAGATGCCCAATGACTGAGCCTCCCAGGCGCCCCTGAACTGATTGCATTTAAAGCAAAAGCATTTACGCTGGTTTCCAAAAGGTTCTGATTCTGCCTCTCTTTGGAGATAGGCCAGGAGTGCCTTTTTTTTTTTTTTCGGTCAGAAGAATGACCTGCTCTGGGTAATGACGTGTGAGCTCACAGAACCAAGTACAAATCACCATTGCCCTCCTCCTCCCATCCCCCTCCCCTCCTCCTCCCCTGACACCAGTCTTAAAAAAAGGATATTATATAGAAATCACAAATTGCAATGTTTGAACTCTTTGTTGATAAAACAAACGGTGGTAACAGGGAAAATTTCCAGATACCTGAACTTTGATTTAGAAGTATCCCGGGGCTATTGATGGGTAACCCTAAAAATATACAAAAAACTGTTACAGGAAATAAGTTTTGTGGTTATTATCAAAATGATTCTGGTGAAACCCATTGATCAACATGCAAAGTTTTTAAAAATGACGAGAGTATTGGGGGCGCCTGGATGACTCAGTCAGTGAAGCGGCCGACTCTTGGTTTCATTTCAGGTTATGATGTCAGGGTCCTGGGAGAGAGCCCTAGTTGGTTCTATGCTCAGCGGGAAGTCTGCTGGAGATTCTCTGCCTCTGCCCCTCCCTCCCTCTTTCGCTCTCTCAGATAAATACATCTTTAAAAAATGATAGTATTAAATATGAAGCTTACAGGCAATATTCTATTTTCAGATGATAAGCATGCTCTCTAGAACTTTCAAAAGACTAGGTTGCAACACTGCATTCTCTAATTCATCTTATATTTGAAGGAGTTGATTCTGTATCTTTCCCTATTTGCAGACATCTAATGACACCTTCGAAATTCCCCTCATGTTAACTGGAAATGTGGTGTTAAGGAAGAGGCTCAACTATGAAGATAAGACTCGGTACTTTGTCATCATCCAAGCTAATGTGAGTATTCAATTTCCCTAGCTTCCCTCTGGGGAACTTATGAAGTAAAGAATGCACCCGAAATATGTAAGTGCTCTCAGAGTGCTTGGTGTAGTTTATGGGCTGGACAGGGTAGGCTGCCCACAGCGTAATTTGTATATTATATTCTTCTAGATGGGGAGTGGGATGGAAGGGGGCAGGAGGATTGTTTCTCCTCACTGTTTCCTTCCCTCTGAATCACTCATACCCACTCTTCAATAATTTGCCTTCAGTTCACACTGAAGTATTTCTCAAAGTGTGATACATGGAATGTCAGCAGCAGAATCACCTTGGGAGGATATTAAACATGCAGATTCCTGGACCCAACCTCAGACCCTCTGAATAAAAATTCAAAGGGTAGAAGTGGAATGCTTGCATTTTTATTAACTCCCCAGGGGATTCCAGAGTATACTAAAGGAAGAGAAAAACCTTCCAATTGGCAATCTTCTCTCCCATGGCTGCCATTTCTTGAATAGTTGCTCACTAGGTGTCAGCAACTGGGACCATAACCAGGATGTGTGCAAAGTAGGAACAGAACATCAGAAAACAGTCTTATATAATATGGGCTTTTTAAAAAAAATTATTTATTTATTTGAAAGACAGAGAATGAGAGAGAGAGAGCACATGAGAGGGGCGAGGGTCAGAGGGAGAAGCAGACTCCCTGCTGAGCAGGGAGCCCGATGCGGGACTCGATCCCGGGACTCCAGGATCATGACCTGAGCTGAAGGCAGTCACTTAACCAACTGAGCCACCCAGGCACCCCATAACATGGACTTTTGTTATCATCTTAATAAAATCCCTAGATTCATGTGGATCAAGGGTTGGTTTGACAGCTCAAGTATATCACTAAGGACTCAGGTTACTTCTCTCCTTACATTGTGCCCCTTTCCTGAAATTTGGTTATTTTTCCAATGCCTTATTTGTCAGGGGGTAGTAAATCCCACAGCCATAAGCATCACAACTGCATTTCAAGTCTGAGGATAAGCAGGTGGAAAGAGGGCAAAACTAGGACTCCTCTTATGTTTGTTTATTCCTCCTTTGTCTGCAAGGAAACTCTTCCTGAGTCCTCTCCCATCCAATGTCCCCTCCCAACCTGGGATCCCAGGAAGCAGTATAGAGAAGGGAGGTTGAGGAAGATTGTATGTAGCAAAGGGGAATGAGCTAATCACCTCTGGATTACACCAAATTCTCTGCATCTCCTGGAGCTGGACACACCGATAACCCTGGGGGCCTAGGCCAGGAGAAGAAGGAGGAGGAGAGGCAGAGGAGGAGGAAGGAAGGAGAAGGGGAAGAAGAGTTTGTTAACAAGAAGAACGGGGCTAGTACTTCAGCAAACAACTGATAGGTCTGGCTACAGATAGCTTCCAGTATTGACGAAGGTCCATAGAAAGTGACAGGATCATGTTCTGAAAAGGTTATTAGACCCTGAAGCCAACCTCTGCCTTTAAGGGCTCCTAAGCATTGTCATCCTAGTCATGTGGCAGAACAGGAAGACAGCAGAGAGGGGCAAAAGGAAATCTTCATCCGCCAGCTCTTCTGAACCAGTTTATATGCAACAAGGTGTCACTCAATGGCATTTTTGCCCAAAAGATATTTTGCCAGAAAGGGGGGGGGGATTTTGTCTGTGTATATTTATATTAATATCATTTTATATACTTATAATATATAAATATATTTACTTATATATAAATATAATTATTTTATGTAACATATATAATATATATAAATTTATCTGTTATATGTAGTAGGTAGGTAGTAGATATAGATACATAGATAGAAATCTAATTTTTGAAGCCAAATCTCTAGATTTACATTCAAAATTCTCCAGTTGGTTGTTTTTCAATTGATTGTCTTGGTGTCCAGGGGTAGAGGCTAAAGTGGAGACAGACAGCAGATATAAGAAAAAGTAAAATCTACTGGACTCTCAGTAGATTGAGTAGATTTGAGTTCCTCAAAACCCTGAAATCTTTCTTTTTATAGATTATTTCCATGCAAGTGAAAATGAGAAGAAAAAATACAGTTTCCCTTGCCTGACTCAGAATCGCTAATAACATGTAGGGAAAAGTAAGATTGCTCTGGAATGTATCTGAAAACAGTTTTTATTGTGCTATTTAAAATGAGTTGTTTTTTTTTTAAAGAAACTCAAGCTAAAACATCTGAGTTGCTATTTAATTTAAAATATTTATAAAGATACCTGGAACAATTTGTATGCAATCTGCTAGACTGCCCATAAGTGAGGGAGGGAGTGTTAAATTTTTAGCATTTCAGGGATAAAATTATGAAATAGAAGGATATGCATGAATCATCAAAAGGAAAGGATGGAATTGGCAAGAAATTAAAGAAAGGGTCAATTTATCTGTAACAATTTTTATTATAAATTTAAATCAGACAGTATAAAATGTGAATGTTAAATATAGGAGATTAGAAGCTTTTTGGTGTTTTTAAAAATTTTCAGAGCGATATCCTTTTAATGATTTTAGAATATACCAAAATTAGGATGCATTATAATTAATTCAACTATACTTTCCATTTTTTTGTTTTTTGGCATGGGATGGTATCTACCCTCATGACTCTCGTGAGAGGCAGTGAGTGCAGGATTATGGCAAAAGCATGAATTCTCGAACTACCATTACCTGGATTTATTTTATTTTATTTTATTTTTAAAGATTTTATTTATTTATTTGAGACAGAGAGAATGAGAGACAGAGAGCATGAGAGGGAAGAGGGTCAGAGGGAGAAGCAGACTCCCTGCCGAGCAGGGAGCCCGATGCGGGACTCGATCCCGGGACTCCAGGATCATGACCTGAGCCGAAGGCAGTCGCTTAACCAACTGAGCCACCCAGGCACCCAACTGAGCCACCCAGGCGCCCTACCTGGATTTAAATGCCAGTGCTGCCGTTGACTAGCTGGGTGACTTTGGGCAGATGTTGTACCTCAGTTTCCTACCTCGTAAAATGACGATATTAATAAAACACACCACATAGACTTCTTGTGAAGATTAGCAAGTTAACAACCACAACTAATACTTAAGACAAATGCTTGGAATATATTCTCATATCGTTACAGTATTCTATAAACTACTTAACTACTGGCACTTCATAGATCAAAAATGGATCATGTAGGGGCTCCTGGGTGACTCAGTCAGTTAAGCGTAAGCATCTGACTCTTGATTTGGGCTCAGGTCATGATCTCAGGGTCCTGGGATGGAGCCTTGTGTCTGGCTCCGCACTCAGCTGGGAATCTGCTTAAGATTCTCTCCCTCTGTCCCTCCCCCATTGCTCACATACTCTTTCTCTCTCAAATAAATAAAATCTTTTAAAAAATGGATAATTTAAAAATGGAATTACCATGAGAAACTTATGTTTATTATGAATGTATAAGCATATACTTTTAATCTTACTAAATAGCACCATATTATTTTCCAAAGTATTACAACACATCACTCCCCCCCAACAAATGGTAAAGAATTCTTCATTGCCTCTACATCTTAGACACATAATTTACTTAAAACGGTGGGTTGTTGGAACTGAAAAGCTGACTCCTACTTGCTTAAGGACCGATTGTGGGTCTCTTCCCAGCTCCAAGTTCAATGACCTCACATTTGTGGTCATGGTGGTAGAGCCTAGAGTATGGAAAGTGACAAATGCTACAAATCAGAGCTTCTTCTCTCAGAGAGATGGTTGTTAAACATGGACTGCTTTGTATATGCCAACGTCTATGTCGGGGAGCAAGAATCCCTATCCTCTCCAAAGGTCCTTCTAGCTGGACTCAGGATCAAATTGACATGAGACAGATTCACAGACAAAAATCAAATATAATAGGTGTATGTATGGGGAATCCACACAGATGTGGAAATTCCAAAGGCATTCAGGCAGGATGAGGTCTGTGTGTCATCCTGAACTAGGGAGAAGGGGGTGGGAGTCTGGGGCTTCAGAGGAAAGGGATGCACTTCATAGGATGATAAGAAAAGCATGTATCTGATAATTAGATGTTTGCCCTACCATACAGGTGGGTCACTCAGATAAAATTTATCTCTGTTAATAACCTTTATTCTGGGAGACCCCAATTTAGGTTCTTCTGTGTGGTTAAGAGAAGGACAGAATTTATCTTGAGTCTGCACAGTCTCAGGTGCCTTCAGCTCACAATATGCCAAAGTTGTACATTTGCCAGGGTGGGCTGTCCTGAACCCCTTCATCTATATAATTTATATTTTTATATTTATATAGAATCATGAAATCCACAGACTGTTATATGTTTCTGATTACATTTTTATATTCTTTGGGTTTTTTAACTATTGTCAATGGTATGTAAATCAATGTACATTGTAGATTATGTACATTAAAACCTGCATTATTCTCTTCAAGTCATAAAGAGAGTGGAAATATGAGCGATTGATTTTGATTTTAAAGTAGATGGTACCTAAGAGGGTAGAGGTCTGATGATAAATTACTGAAATCACTGTTTGGATCTGGCTTCACTTATGGTACAAAGATTTGATTGATGTGCAAAGGAAACTATTCAAATTTCACATAATTAGGAAGTTTCTTTTTATCCATGTGGGCATGTTGTTACTCTTAAATAAGCCGGGAGAGTTTTGGTTAGCATAAATAAGAAAACTTGTCACTCATTTTATTGAGAATATTTGCAACATTATTACCCATGGTTCATTTTAAATATGAATATGCAATGAGGGAATGATTATTTCTAGAAAACAGAAGGAAAAGAAATCTAAAAAAGAAAGTTCAGAGATACCCAGAGATCAGTGGGTTTTCTTTCTATTGAAATGTCCAATATAGTCTGTACCACAAACTCCAATTTTTTGATATATTACCCTAAATCACAAAGGAATCAAACTCATCTCTTTATACATAGATATTATTCAAAACCAGCTCTCTTTTGTATTAGCATTATCCTGACAGAAATACTAAGGATTCTTAGGTACTCAAGAGCTCTTGATTAATTGTCAGAAAGAAAAACTTTAC